GCTGGGTGGGGGGGGGGAGGGTGCTTTGGGGGCTGGGAGTGACTCAGGTGAGTTGTGCAGAAGCTTCTGCTCATCCTCTGCACGCACGCACACACACACACACACCAGCCTGGTCTCCTTTTTGGCTTCTGTGCCGGAAGCAGGGCAGGGACTCGGGTTCTTCTCCGCAGCTGTCGGTTTTCCGGGGCTCCCGCCTGCAGATAAGCCAAGGAGGTCCTCTCTTACCATCCCTCCCTCTCCTCATCCTCTGCCCCCCCGACCTGACTAGCCTCCCCTCCCCTCCCCTGTGGAGTGCAGTTTCAATAAATGGAGCATGACTTTTAATAAGGAACTGGACAGTGGGATCTGGGATGTGGCGACCGTACAGACAATCAAAAGGATTGTGATGGAATAAACGTCCACTTGTTTCTAATCCTGAAGGAAGGCTGTTCTGTGGGGTCCCTCCTGTGCCCTTTTCCGGAAGGGTTGGGGCCCCAACCCTTGCGCTGAGACTCTGTTCCGTGGGCCCCAAAGGCAGCTGGGCCTGGGGAGGTAGGTTGGGGGGGGGCTGCGCCACACTTGGCCCAGGGAGCCTGGGGGGGGCAGAGCGGGCAGGGAGTGAGTGGGCCACGGGGAAGGCAGGCTTCAGCAGAGCAGGATGGTGTCTCTCTCGGGGGGGGGCTTGTTACTCCTGCCCTGCCCTCCCGTCCTCTTCCCAGAGGAGGGGGGGGCTCTGCTAGGCACAGTCGGGGGGGGTCTGGGTCGCCAGGTGCTTGGGAGCAGCCCACCTGCTGGCACTGCGCAGCGGAGGAGGGTCATTTGCTGCCCAGGCAGCTGTCCGGGGAGGGGGGCATTCCGTTGGCCAGTCCAGGTGGCCACCCATCGCCCTTCTCCCTGGCATCCAGCCGACCCAAGGGGAGACCCTTCCTGTTAGCTTGCCTCTCGCCCAGCTTGGCTTCCGCAGCGACCTTGCGAGTGGAGGGGAGGACTCGGTCTGGGGCTGGGAATCCTGGGAGAGGCTGAAGGGGACCTTCAGGCCGGGGGTGCCTTCACGGGGCAGAAGGGACCTGTGCCTTGCTATCCCCCCCCCAATTCTCACGCGACCCCAAGCCCCATCTGCCCTGCCTCTGCCTCCCCCAGAAGCCGCGCCGGGTGTGGGTGGTCCCTGTAAGCTTGCTGGGCAGGGCTTGCCTCTGAAGCCGAGGCCATGGTTTCCCCTCCTTCTGCATCCTGCAGAGGAAGAGGAGGGCGGGACACAAACTCCGGGGCTCTGACTTCTCCCACCCACCCCCGGAAGCAGGGCCCAAAGGGAGAGCAGAGGAAACCGAGGACTGGGGCAGCTGCTTCCTAGCGGACAGCCCTGTGCCTTTCATGGCACCAAAAGATCACTGGGATTGAGGCGAGCGGGTGGTGAGTCTCCAGGGCAGTTCTTGAGGGTCACCCTCCCCCCCCCTGCCATGTCCAGATTTGACTTTGTGTGTCCAACCCGCTCAGAAGCTTCCTGCCAAGAGGTGACAGGTATGTGTGGAATGGCCAGGTTTGCCCCGGGGGGGGTTTGGGGGTTGGAGGAGGCAGGCTCAGGCTGGCTTCGATTTCTGCCTTCAAGTAATCCCGCACTGGGTGTCCTGGGGCACCCTTGTCTCTTTTGGTAGTTGGTGGCCACCCTGTCCTTAGGCAGAGTGAGGCAGCTCTGCCTAAGGACCCTGAGCATCCCATAGGTGTGCTTTCTCTTTTCAGGAGGAAGGGAGAGGCATTCTGTGGGATGTGTTGCTCAGGGGCCAGGACGACCTGGTGAACTTACAGCATGCGGGTAGGATGAGCCAGAGCGAGTGCTGGGTGAAAAATCCCACTCCCCTGTTCTCTTGGCCGGCTCTGTGTGTATTCTTGGGCAAAGTGAGCACCCCTGACTGTGCCCTGCTGAGGTTGAGGGCAACGTCCGGGGTGTCCGTCAGACCATCTCTGTGTTGGGGGGAGGTACGGTTGAGGGTATCTCAAAGCTTGTTGTGAGGTGCAGAGTGCCACTCCTTTGTTACTGCCGTGAGATGCATTCCCCCCCCCCAATACCTGTACTTAACTGGGAAGTAACTCTGGATCTGGGAGGGCTTCCCAGTCGCAACCCCATCCGCCTTGTGCCTCTTCTGCTGGCCTTCTCCACATCTTGCTGGGGAAGGATTCCTTCCTGGAGGCCTGGCTTCACATGCAACCCACGTGTGCCTTTCCTCGTGGCATCTGCCACAGAAAACTACCTTCCACTGCAAAACCTACTTCTGTTCATCCTCTGCTGGAGTTCTTTCTCTGGTGGACCTGGAGATCTCTTTCTGACAAGGAAGAGGCAGCCTGCTCTGCCTCTAAGAAACACCCCCCCCTTAAAGCCTTCCCTGTTCCTGACTTCCTTGCAACAAACTCTTGTGACCCGGCTGTGTGGCCTGGGCTGACCACATAGTTCCTGCCTGGCCCATCGTGGTTGCTGCAAAGACAAAAGGGGTCCCCTTCGCGTGCCTGGGTCAGAGCGCTTGGCAATTGCTCTAGAGACTTGAGGGCTCCATTAGGAACCCCTAAGCCAGCCCTTTTCTCCCTTCCCAAGGATACCTTCTCGTTCGTTCATTTAGTCGTGTGCGACTCTTCATGATCCCATGAACCAGAGCACACCAGGCCCTCCTATCTCCCACTGCCTTCTACAACCAGGCTAAGTGTCACCTAAGGGGGGGGGGACAGAATAAACTAGACTGAATGAACACCAGTACTTTGAACAATAACTTGAACTTCCAACTAGCAGCATACACAAATCAGTAACATTATTACATCATAGCTTATTATGTCCCAATAATAATTTGGGATTTAGCATTTTCTTCTACAATATAATACCATTTCCTTCGCTTAAGAAATGTTAAAATTAGAGATGGGCACAAATTACAAAACGTATCAACAAACTTCTTCAAAATACCACTAATTCATTCATTTGTATTCATACGAATCAATGCCCCCAACAAATACAAATCAAGGAATTTATAGTGATTG